CTAAATGCAATGTAAAATGTTTAAGATAATACATAATATTACTTTTTTAATTTCTTCCTATTGGCCACTTTTCTTTATAATTGTTTATTCTTCAAAATGAAGGCGAAATTTTCCCGTGCCTGTAAGTAAATATATTAGCACGGTAAAGGAAAAAAATACTAAAAATGCATCTGATCAAATGATGATTGTACCTAAAATTTAGTGACTGTACCTAATGTACCTTTAAGTCATCAAACGTCGGAAAAAGGTACAATTGTACCTACTTTTTCATCCCTGGTGCGTACCTTGGCTGCAACAAGATAGCGGTCCGAGTCGATGCTTGCTAAGTATTCAGTAGGGTGAAAAAGAAGTTCCTTCATAACTTAAGCACGTTCTGGACATCGGTCATTAGAACCTTCCATATGTTGTCTAACTCTCTAATGTAATTTTCGGGCCCATATAGCACGCATTGCGCTCGATCGCAGCGTGGCCTGTAGGCGTCATTTTTTTTCACTTTAGATTCTTGACACAGATACTAGCCTTTGACTTGATAGCTTTTTTGTCGGATTTCCACTGAAAGCACTTGTAGTGAAACCGTTTCCGCCAACAGACTAGCTGTAACTGGATTCAAAAGCCACGTCATTCAGTTAAAATCTGGTTGGGAACCCTAACCTAAACAGATGGTCAAGCTTCTTTTAGCAAAGGTCTTATTTATCAGTTAACTTGTAAAAGCCCATTGATTTTGTGTATTAAATAGCTTCCTTGGCTTTTACTTATCGATGAAAGATCTGAACCTAGGTAACTAAACCCTACACCTTTTCCAACTGTATTTTAGAGAAACGTAAATGTATATCAGAAAACCGCAAATACATTTCAGAAAAACTCAAATGTGTTTCAAAAAACCGCAAACCTATTTCGGAAAAGCTGAATTTTGTTTCAGAAAACCACAAATGTATTTCAAGAAAACTCAAATGTATTTCAGAAAAGCGGAAATTTATTTCAGAAAAATTTAAACGTGTTTCGGAAAGCACAAATGTATTATTTTTTATCCCTATCTTCTTCTCAATTAAGTGAAAATTATATGTTATTTTTACGCATGTCGCGTAATGCCAAAGCATCCGAGAAAAAGATGGATGAGTGTTGTATAGCGCGAGCACAATCCGCAGTAGCAATGTTTTATTTTTCTTGGTGAATTAAGCCATCCAAGTACTGCAAACGACTTTCGACCACTCCAGGTCCATTCACAGCAGGAGATGAAATATGCGTTTTTACGTAAGCTTTTGTTTTCGCTGATACATTTTCGATAGGGTTGAGCATTGGCGAGTATAGCCCAAGATGCAAAAGTGTAGCCGATCCATTATTGGCGACACCTTGCCCCAGTCCAGCATGGCAGAGTGCATTGTCGCACATAATTACTAAGTCCGACAAATTATTTCCCAAACCGTCACTGAGGATCCCTTACCTATCCACTCTTTTAAGAGCGTCGCATTTCCATCGATAACACACCTGATACGCTTACAGCACCGATCAAATGTATCGTTTGGTATCTTGATGTCGGCAATAGTACTGCTCTCGCTCCCAGAAGTTAAAATTGCTTTCATCCATGCAAACTATTTGCTTTCCTTGCTCAATAAAACCACTCAAATCTCTTACAAACTCGGAACGTTTTGCTTATTTTCGAACGTGTTCACGTCGCTGGTGTATGGTGCACACTTGTGAATGATGAATGATTTACCCTCTAAGGGCCGGTTGTTCAATGTCTGGTTATTACTACTTTCCGGTTAAACATCATTATCGATGTTTTCGACATCATGCATATAACATGTGATCGATAAATCAGTAGTTGTATTTAACCGGAGCTTCTACCTTCGTATTAGTGCTAATCAGACATTGAACAACCGGCCTTAAGTAGTTTGCCGCGTCGATGTGCAAATATGTTTGTTAAACTCCATTTTCACTATGGAGGCTAACTGCTTTAAGGTGAGAGTATCGTCCACTTCCACCCAGGGAACCATTACATCATCGTTTTCAGTCAGCTTCTTTTCATTCCCTCCACCTCGTTTTTGAGTCACGACTCTGCCAGATTGCACCCATGTGTAAACAGTTTTATAAACTATAACTAAAGATGCTGCTAAACTGTACCAGTCATATCCCTTATTAGCGGCCTCAACAATCCGCAATCGGTCAACGTTGTTATATTTCCTGTAACGAGTTTTTTCCTGAACCTCCTTATCTGCACACAAAAAATATTCGTATGCATAAATAGGTAAATATAAAATGCTATTTATTTATTTGGATGTATGTAGTATATGTTTTTAAGTTTTATTAAATTATTCTATTAAATATTAATTCAGTATTGCAATAAATTTTACAAACTTCAAATAATTTTATTATAAAACAAGTAAGAAGTATAAGTGGAACGATTTATATACCCGGCGCACTTATTTAATATCGTTTTTTCACCTTTCAGTAACTGCATGATAAGCAAGAATATTTTTCCCGATGTCAAACCGTTTCGTAATATTCTATGATATATTGAAATGATTGGAGCAAGTTTGGTGGAAATCTATATAAACCGGTTACCGAGATACACATATGTAGGCGTAAGTGGGTGGTACTATGCCCATTTTCCCATAAAATTTCCCTAAG